AACCCAAATAAAATTTTAATTTGACTCAATACACAGAAGTAAGCAGTGACTGTCTGTTTCTGTCATGTGAACTTCTAGCAACACGGCATTTTCCCTGGTGAAACACATTCACCTGACCTGTACTCATGCATTTTGGGTGGAGTCAGCTTCGCTGTCGCAATCACAGTTGTGTGCCACAACTACAGAATCAGAGCATCGGCCCCACTCTTGTGGCTTCCTCAAGTGGTGCAGGAGCTGCATGTTCTTAGGGCAAGGAAGACAGAAAAAGTCAGAGGTCATCTCTTTCCTTGGTCTTGACACCATAGCCTCGGTAAAGACACAGATGGAGAACGCATACCATAGAGTAAAACCAGTGAAATACAAAGCAGAAGTTAGGGATGGATTCCGAGAAATGAGGCACCTGAACCCATCTGAGATGGAAACAAAGTCTCTCTCTGGACTTTTCCCTTATGTATCCCAATAAAGTCTATTTTCCGCAAGCCGGTTTTCTGTGACTTGTAACCATAACCGTTTTGATGTCTGGGATTTGCATCTGCACCAGCTCCAAGTCTGGAAATGGATTCTGTCAGTGTCACCTGAGATGTCGCCTTTTCTCCTTACAACACCAATCTAAAGTATAACTTAGATAATGGCATGCTTCTAAAACACACAGACTTGTGTACAATAAGATTGCTATCGTTGAGACTAAAATCTATTAGAAAATTCATGATTACCCGAATAAATTTCACTTCTGATAACAATTTACATGGAAATGAAATGAAATTCAATTTGACTTCATGGTAGATAACACATATGGTACATAAACCATTGTGAGAGAAGTTATTATGGATATGTGTGAAAAAGAGAAAGAGAGACGGAAGTCAGAGGTTCAGTTTGTGAATTCACAAAGTAACGGAGAATAAATGACTTTGTACCCAGTACCAAGTCATAAAATGATGCCACAGGGACAGATTCCTCTTCTGATGGCCAGAGCTTTAGACATTTTACAGAGATTTAACCCTAGAAGTAAGGACTCTGGCAATTGAAAAGCTTTCCAAAGTTGCCAGAGAGAACGACTCTCTCTCGGGTTGCTAGTAAAGTCACCTCTCTTCCTTTTATCTGGTCTTCTACAAATGTCCACTACAAATAACATCCACTACAAATGTCCACCACATGCCAAAGTGCTTGGGCAACAGTGTTTCAGCAGCACATAGAACATAGAAACCCTTTTATGTGTAGGAGCTTACGGACCATAAATTCACAGTAAGAATGTGACTGTGGGGCAACAGCATACTTTAATGAGAATTCATCTGAGGGACATTATAGAATATTGGATGACATGGTCAACTCTCTTAATGTAAAGGAAACTACAAGTGTTACAAGGGCTGAATTTAGGACATCTTGGCTGAGACCTTTAGGCACATCCATATCCTATAAGGAGCCTAATGCCCCACCTTCTCCACGCCAATACAGTAAGTTCCTTTTTGTTTTCTTGTACCAATGAGCAGATGGTAATTGACAGATCACAGCTACTTCATAGTCTCATGGACTCCCTGACCATCACACGGCCTCTGGACTAATGGGCTCGGGGTTCAGAATCACTCTTATCTAAATAAATGTTCAAAACACTGAAGCAGAGTGTTCTAAAGCCTGCTGTCTTCTTCTGAGAGATAAGCTGTGTATGTTGATGATGAAGATGCTGTGACTCTCACAGACCCTCTGCTTAAGGTCTTCTTGGTTAAAAATCTTGCTTGCAGGTAGGCCTCTGTGAGTTTGAGGCCAGCCTTGTCTATAGGTGCAAGTTCCAGGACAGGCTCCCGAGCTACAGAGAAACCCTACCTGGAAAAACAAACAAACAAAAAAAATCCTGCTTGCTGATTAGTCTGAAGTATAAACAAATCAATGCAAATGGAAAGGGAGCATCTCCATGGACTTTTCAATTCCTACCCCAGGAAAAATACTGAGAGCACTTAGAAGCCCCAGACACTGAGACTACCTGAAGTGTCTTGAAGTGTATGCACATTAATAACTGTCCCCAGGTCCAAATCTGAATCATCACTTCCAGCTAAGGAATCATAGGCACATTACTTGAGGCTTTTTTAAATTTAATTTTTATTTAAATTAAAAACAATCTTATTTTATATACCAATCCCAGTTCCCTTTCACTCCCAACCTCCTATGGGGGATCATCAACTTCTGTCACATCATTTGGAGTAGGACCGAGGCTGAGAGAGTAACCCTCCACAGGGAGTGGGCTCCCACAACCTATTCGTGCATGAGGGATAAATACTGGTTTTACTACCAGAGGCCCCATAGACTGCCCAAGCCTCCCAACTGACACCCATGTTCAGGGGGCCTGGTTGAGGTTTTTGTTAAAATGAGGATCTCTTCCTTGGATGATTAAATGAGACACCTAACTCAGAAAAAAAAAGTTGCTAGGCAAAATGGAACATACCTTTAAACCCAGAAATTGGGATACAGTGCTAGAGTTCCAGGCTAGTCTAGAGACTTCCAGGCTATTCACAGTGAGACTCTTGTCTATTCTATCTAAACTAAAATTTAAAATAATTTTTTCCTTTTTTTTTTTTTTTTTTTTTTTTTTTTTTTTGTTAATTTTGCAAGACAGGGTTTCTTTGTGTAACTGCCTTAGCTGTCCTGGAACTCACTCTTCAGACCAGGCTGGCCTCACAGAGATCCACCTGCCTTTGCCTCCCAAGAGCTGGGATTAAAGGGGTGCACTTCCAACTAAACTAATTTTTAAGAGGTTAACCCCTGTGGTTCTATTACCTGATAGAGCATCACTCACCTTGTTGGCCAAGCAAAGTTTGACTGTAGACTGGAGTACAGGCCCCTTCTACTCGGCCCACCACTAACAGCGCTAGGTCAGCCCCCAGACAGCACTGGTGACTAACAGAAGATTCTGATTTACTGACAAAAAGACAAAAGTAGCATGTGGCATGGCTTCTGTTGAGGTCCAGAAGGCGATGACGATCTTTATTGTCATTACAGACAAAAGGATCAATGTACGGCCTAGTTCAGGCTTCAGGATGCCAGGCCGCCCTTCTTTAAGCCCAGCCACTAGGTAACTGATATCACAGGCAGATAGATGCAGGTTTACAGGAAAGTGCGTGTGTGTGTGTGTGTGTGTGTGTGTGTGTGTGTGTGTGCGCGCGCACGCGCACACACACACACACACACACACACACCTTTGCATATCACCAATGCTTTTGGAGCTGCGCTGAGAGTGAGGTCTCTACTACTTGTAGTGGAGCAAGCAATTGAAGCTAGAATCTCAGTTGGTGTCTGCCCTGGAGGGACAATTACCATTTCCCCATGATACAGCTGGTTGGACCAAGGACGGACAATCAAGTGCCCCTTCCAAATATGTGAACACAGGTCCCCTTGGTTTTGTACAGTGGTACAAACTCAGAGGCTAGAGATGCCATTGTAGGTGGCGTGGCAAGCAAAGCCGAGGCGAGGGGCCAGCTAGACGTGGGTGAAAGAACTCAATACATGCAAGGAACACAGAGGCGGGAGCCCTGAACCTGCTAAGGGGAGCTGTGGATGAAGAGTGGCTGTCTTGGATTCCTAATTGCTGGCCATCATGGAGCCCAGCTACTCAGGCTCCATCCATTTGAGGAAGACACTCTGGTGTCATCCAGTAGAACTGTCCCTTTATCTGGACACTTTGAACTGGCTTCAGTCTGTACCATCCAGTAACTCCTAAGACAGAACTGCTTGAAAATGACTCGGTCCTGAATGTTAAGCCATGGTGGGGCACCCACACCTAATTTACATAATGGGCAGGCATCCACTCAGACTTCTCCTCACAGAGCCAGCTCTACCTCTTTAGAGTTCAGACAGCTACTAGGATTCCCAGCAAGCCTTTCTCCCCGGCCCCGCCCCCACCCCCAGTGTTAAACTATCCGCGTACACGGGTGAATTTGAAAAACAAAAATGTTTCTGACAAGTGTAAAGAGGAATACTTAGAGCTTCCTGTGGATGTAAAGTATTCAAGTTCTCACTCAGGAAGTGGAATACTGTGCTTAGAGTATATTAGATTTTTCTAATAAGAGTTTTTCTCTGGATTATTGTGACATAATCCACATAAATTTACAATAATTTAGGCTCTGCTCCCTTTTCAGCCGTAGAACAATGAGCTAGCTGTCTATGTGGCTACGGTTTTGTGACCTTTGGAAATCTTGATCTTTCCCATTCTACCCCACCCCAAAAGAAGTCACTGCATCTGTGGCCCCCTCATAACACTGACACAGGACTGAGATTTCCACTATTCTTTGTACCACGATATAAGTTAGATCCTCTCTCTCTCCCCCTTCGCCCCCCCTTCTCATTTTTCAGGATAGCATTTCTTTGTGTAGTCCTGGCTATCCTGGAACTCATTCTGTAGATCAAGTTGGCCTCAAACTCAGAGATCTGCTTGCCTCTGCCTCCTGAGTACTGACGTTATAGGCGTGTGCCTCCACACTCAGCCAAGGACCATGTCTCTTAAAATTGTAAAAGGCTTCTCCCTAGAAACCTCAGAGTCTGACATTAAAGATATTAATGTTTAATAAGGATCAGGAGAAACAAATAGACCGAATAGATGTTTATTCAGGGAGAAATAACTCACAGCATAGACAGATGAGCACCAGCAGGTTCCTGATCCCAAGGATGCCTCTGGAAGTGCTCCTGCCCCGTGCTGCATGCAAGAGAGCTCTCCGAGCCCTCTCCTCCACCTTAGTTCCCCCAGGTCAGGTCAGGCCCTGTCTCCACCCCCCTTGGGCATGGTCTATACCACAGGTGCGGACAAGGTGAATATTTCACTACAATTCCCCTTTCAGTCTAAAGAAAAGATTTGGGCTAGATACACAAAAAATAGTGAATAACAAGTGTACTCTAAGAAAAGGAAAATCGAGAACATACAAACTTAAGACCTAACTGTAGTCCTAGGGTGAAGTCGAAATGGGGGTTTACAATAGAGTTGTCCTAAGCTGGAAAGCTTAAGTCTGCATGCTAACTAGGAAGAGAGAATAATAGTTTCTACCCAGAGGAGGTGTTCTCTATGGTTCTGACTAAAATGAAGGAAATTGCAGAAGCCTATCTCGGCAAGCCTGTTACTAATGCTGTGGTCACAGTGCCAGCCTACTTCACCGATTCTCAGCAACAGGCAACAAAAGATGCGGAAACCATTGCTGGCCTCAATGTGCTTCGAATTATCAGTGAACCAACTGCTGCTGCTATTGCTTATGGGCTAGATAAGAAGGTTGGCGCTGAAAGGAATGTGTTGATTTTTGACTTGGGAGGTGGTACTTTTGATGTGTCAATCCTCATTGTTGAGGATGGAATTTTTGAAGTCAAAACAACAGCTGGAGACACCCACGTGGGTGGAGAAGACTTTGATAACAGAATGGTCAACCATTTCATTGCTGAGTTTAAGAGAAGGCACAAGAAGGACATCAGTGAGAACAGGAGAGCTGTCGGGCGTCTGTATACTGCCTGTGAATGGGCAAAGCGCACCCTCTCCTCCAGCACCCAGGCCAGTATTGAGATTGATTCTCTCTATGAGGGAATCGATTTCTATACGTCCATTGCCTGTGCTCGATTTGAAGAATTAAATACTCACCTGTTCAGAGGCACCTTGGACCCTGTAGAAAAGGCCCTTTGAGATGCTAAGCTAGACAAGTCACAGATCCATGACAATATCCTGGTTGGTGGTTCTACCAGAATCCCCAAGATTCAGAAGCACCTGCAAGCCAGAGCTCTCCAAGCCCCCTCCTCCACCTTAGTTCCCCCAGGTCACATCAGGCCCTGTCTCCACCCCCCATGGGTGTGGTCTATGTCACAGTTGCGGACAAGGTGAATATCTCACTACAAATAGATATTTCTTGTGTGTGGCATGATTTTTGTTGTAATAAGTGCATTATAAATTGAAAATAACCTAAGCTGAAAATGCACTCACTATACCTAACCAATAGATATCTGCAGCTTAATAACACAAGACAATGTAGGCTATGAGCCATTCACTCTCTTAACTATGGCCTAGGAAGGAGTTACAACCCAACAACCTAGAGTGCTGCATGCTGTATATGTCTAGCCCAAGGAAACACTCAAAATTCAAAGCATGGCTTCTGTTGGATGCTTATTGCTCCAGTACCATTATGAAGTTTAAAAGAAGAAAAAATCCCACATTGTTTAACATGACATATCTCTCACTCTCTCACAAACCCTTTTCCTGACCTGTCCTGTTTCTCTTCCTACACATCATTTCTTTCCTCATTGTTATTATTATTATTTTTATTAGTTTTTAGTTTTTCTCTGTGTAGCTTTGAAGCCTATTCTGGAATTTGCTCTGTAGACCAGGCTGGCCTCGAACTCACAGAGATCCTCCTGCCTCTGCCTCCTGAGTGCTGGGATTAAAGGTGTGCACCACCAATGCCCAGCTTCATTGTTATTATTTTAATCATGTTTGTTTTCATCTTCTCTTCATCTCACAAAAGTTGCATATGTTTAGCTCTTTTTCCCTGTACAGTAGCTGCCTAATAAACCCAAGGACAACATCAGACATAGGCAGGGTTCATCATGCACTGGCATACACAATGCTTCCTAGAACCTGCTTGCAGGAGCTTTGGAAAGATATTTGCATCTCTTTTCTGTTCCTGTTCAGTGACATCACATGGTAATTTGGAAAAGCCACCAGGAAAGTATTTACATCATAGTAATGGGCAAACCCTACATCTGGGTTTGTTTTCAGGAAAGCTAATTACTGCATATTTGTTACCGTATCACCATTACTTTCGATGCTGATTAATCATGACGGTTAACTGGACAAGATCTAAAATCACCCATGAAACCAGCCTCTGAGCATACGTTTGAGGGCTGTTCTTAAGTAGATTGTATAAGATGGAAAGACCCACCCTAAGTGAGGGTGGCACTTTCCCCTAAGGCCTGGATGTAGGGAAGGGAGGGCTTTTCCTTGGTGCCTTCATGTCCTGCAGTCGAGTTCATCTGCCCTTCTTGTATGAACTCAACTACTCTGCTGCTGCCATCTTTTGCCTACACAGAACCCAGCCCCTTTGGCCTTCCAGTGGGGACTTAAGGCCAGAGACTCTTAGGAAGCCTTCAGACCAGTGGTTCTCAACCTTCCTAATGCTGCGACCCTTTAATACAGTTCCTCATGTTGTGGTGACTCCTAAACCATGAAATTATTTCTGTTACTACTTCTTCATAACTATAATTTTGCTACTGTTATGAATCGCAATATAAGTATCTGTTTTCCAATGAACTTAGTGACTCCAATGGGGGTTGGGCCCATGTGTTGAGAACCAGTGCTCTAGAGATCCTGACGACACGTGGACCACTGTGAAAATATTACCAAACCAAATTTTAGCTTTGAAGCCAAATACTATATGTCAAAATTTAGTTCATTTAGCTTAACTTTTTTTTAAAATAACTTTGCGCTAAGAAGATAAAAGTCCTACTGAAAATAAATTCCATGTCTTCACCTGCATTGATGTCATGACTTTCCTTATGGTTATTCACAGGAAGATAAGAGACAAAATGTTGTCACCGTGGAACTATGCATTTCGATAAACTACTGCACCTACAAATAACGGTAGATTAATCCTTCAGTTTAACTCCACTGAACTAAAGTGGAGAGAAAGCTTCAAGACAGGGATCAAACCATAGAGATCATTTGTTGTCTAAGTGTGTTTTTTCTTTCTTGATTATCAAAGTAATCCAGAAAAAACACAAGCTATATTATGACACCTTGAATCCAATGCATAGATTAGAATCCTGGCTCCCAGCTTGTGCCCCTTTGAAAGAGGTCAAGGTGGTGTCATATCTCCTGGTGATGATGAGGGGGGAAGGGTCAACTAAAGTGTAAGAAATAGAACCGTTTTCCTATCTCAAACGGCGAAGAGGCAGCAGATGGATCTTTATGACCTTGGCTCCTTGCTCCAATAACAGCCAAGGAAATGTGAGCTCTAATTAACCAGGAGATGGCCACAAGCCCCAAGGTACAGAAGACTCAGAATGATGACAGCCTTGTGCTTCCGTTGCTTGGGACACTACCATTTAGCACCTTTCATTGTATCAGTCTAGTTTAGCATCTGCTTGGAGGGAAAAGAGACGCCAGTTCCAAGGGAGACAAAACAGACACAAGCCAGCAGGTGGCGCCAAATGCAAGAGTACTTAGGAATTCTAAACCCGTTCTTCGTTTTGTAGTAACTTGACTTCCTTGTATCATTTTATACTGATTCAAAACCCCATCTTTCCTAAAGAGTTTGAATGTAATGAATGCCTTTGTATAATTTTCTTATGACGAATTACTTTCATCCTTTGGGTAATGCCTCTCTCCACCTTTTCTTAGGGGGTGGAGGGCAGTTCATATATGTGTAGGGTGCATGCATACAGACAAGGGAGGTCAGCAGCATATGTCTTCCTCAGTCACTTCCACTTTATATTTCGAGGACTGTCCACTTTATATTTCGAGGCAGGGCCCCTCGCTGAACCTGGAGCTTCCTGATTATGCTAGACAGGTGACCAGCAAGCTCCCAGGATCTTCCTGTCTGTGCCGTCGCAGCACGGGGCTCCATTTAAACAGTGCAGTACCCAGCTCTTACACAGGACCTGAGAATTAAGCGTATGATTCCATGGCAAACACTTGACCAACTGGGTCATCTTCGCAGCTCATTACCTCTCCGTTCACACACCCACATTGTGTTCCTAGCCTCAAAGGCGTAAACCTCCCTAAGACCAAGCCAGCATTTGCCATTGCTACACTTTTACCTCTTAAGACTGAAAATGACAGGCTATTTTGCTGACTTGTCAGCAACCCTCCCTGAGACCCAAACTAACACAATGATCTATGGTAGGAAGATGGGGTGTGGACCAAAAGACACCAAGGTGGATGAAGTCACACAAAGAGGCTGGATCCAGCTGTTAACACAACTCACAAGTAAGTTTAAAAAAATTCTTGAACCTTGGCTGGGCCTTGGTGGCCCACACCTTTAATCCCAGCACTTGGGAGGCAGAGGCAGGCAGATATATGTGAATTTGTGAGTCCCAGGCCAGCCTGATCTACAGAGCTAGTTCCAGGACAGGCTCCAAAGCAATACAAAGAAACCTTCTCGAAAAACCAAAAACCAAAACCAAAAACAACAACAACAACAAAAACTTGAACCTCCTCCAAGACTCTCTTCTCTTCCTCAGAATATTATCCTAAAGAAGAGACAGTACCACACCTATCTCAGATCGTTCTTTTCCATACCACAGTGATGGATTCTCACTTCGGGACACAATCAGTCAATGTCCTAGTCAGACTAAACATCTCCAGTAGCCATCCTCATCTCCTACCCATACTCCTCAGAACTGAAAATATAATTTAAACCACCATTCATGTAAGTTCAATGTACTTTCCAAAATGGTTTCCTATTGTTTCCAATGTGGTCTCAACCTGGCCGATTTCTTCCTGTTCCCCTTAACTCCACCAGTCTATTCTGTCCTGGGGATTCTTTGTTCTCACAACCATAGGATCACAGCCCTCCTTCAGGAAAATCATTGGTTCTCCTGAAATTCGTAAACCTACATGGTAATTAATGAGAGCAAAGTCCTGGGTCTGGAGACTGTTAATCTTTTACCAGAACAGAACATTCGTATGGAATTTTATCATTTCCCTGGTTCCAGAATACATCATTTTGCATTATGGAAGCAACTTCTTTTAGTCCTTTTGTGTCTAATAGACTGTGACTTGATACTTGCCCGAGTCAGTATCAGATAATGCTGAGAGAGAGGCATTTTCCTAAATAGATCTATCCCTTTCAGATTGTGCAGTTGCAGGCATCAGAATACAAAAGTAATGAATTCTTTGAAGTTACACTTAATTGCAAGCTGTACATATCCCTTTGATGGTGGAAGTAACTGTGTGCGTTATTTTCTTAAAGTTGCACTCCTCAACTGAAACCACAATCCCTCTTCCCTCCTGAATTTTATCACACCTGAGTAACTCCAGGTAGAAGTAGGGTTGGGGGGGGGGGGTAGGCAGCCAAGAATTTTGCCTGAGTCATTGGTGCTGCATCTTCTCACCCCTCCCCCAAGGGTTGTCCAAGCAGGGTCACCTGCAACAACCAATAACTCATTTCTTTCTATTGCTGAATCATATTTCATTACCTGGATATAGCAGAACTGGTCACTCGTTTACCTAAGTATGGACCAAGGTTGTCCCTAGGTTTTAGTGACAATGAATAAAGTGCAAGGCTCTTGTATGAAGACATTTCCCTATCTCTCCCCCATCACTGAGGGGTCTTATGAATGTTTAGCTTTTTAAGCAACTCTAAATGATTTGGAGTGTTGCTTCATATTTCTGTCGTCAATGTATGAGAGTTCTCATCTACCCATAGACTTACTACAACTGGTTTTATAATGCAGCATTTGTAATAGGTATAGAGTAATAGGTATAGAATCAGCTTCATTAATTCTGCCTATGTGATTAGATTCTTTTTGTTTATTTGTTTGTTTTATTTTTGTTTTTTGAGACATGGTTTCTAAGCTTTGGAGCCTGTCCTGGAACTCACTTTCGCCCAGGCTAGCCTTGAAAACACAGAGCTCTGCCTGCCTCTGCCTCCCCAGTGCTAAGATTAAAGGTGTGTGCCACTACCACTCGGCTTTATCCAACTTTATTTAGTTTACTTTGTTCCTCAAAGAGATTCATTTATGCTGTGTTGTGCATGTGGGGTTGAGTTAATTTATCACCAGAAAAGTTTTCACCAAATTTTTGCTGTACTTAAATATGCCTAAAATAAACCACTCAGGGTCAGGCTTTCAAAGTTTGAACTGACACTGGCTACTAAGCCGTGTTGA